AGTCCGGACCTAAACCCATGGCATATACAAAATTGAATGTTGGCAACCTTGCAATGTTGTCTGGGTGAAACTTTGGCCACATAACATGGAGGCCGGTACTTGATGATGCCCGATGGCAATGTTTTCTTCGTTTTGCAGCAAAGATTTTACAATCTACGGAAGGTTTTAGGTGGTTTGGAAAGAAAATGGGAATGTGAAATGGTCTTTTATGGTAATAAGTCCGGACTCGGTTCTTGACTATTAGGTTTTTTTGGACTTGAACCTAAACATTCTTACAAGTCCGGATCCAAGTCCAGTGAACCGGTATGCATCACTATCTCCAATGGTCCTACTTCAAGTTCAAGCCACACAGCCACAAAAGTCACAATCCCAAATTCATGAGAAATTAGCAGACGATAACATTACCTCCCTGTCAGTGCAACTGCCATGTTTTACGTCCAAAATTGGTCTGTAAGTAAGAATAAATGGGCCCTAGGTTTGAACCCAATATCTAGAGCCTCATAGCCCTTGTAAATTTGGTCCGGTCCACAGGAAGACTTGAACATCAATTTCCCAAGTTTGACAAGCCAAGTCTGGCAGGGGCTGACTTTGCCTCCAGTGCACAGATCTGTTTTACATCACCAACATGTAGACTGTGGGCACAGGTAATTCCTGTAAAGGAACAATTTCACTCAACATAAGTCACAGTCAGAGCCGCCGTCTGAGGCGGGAGGAGGCCAATGAAGTCAAATCGAGTAAGTAATAGGTGAAGGTGTAGCCTAGAGAACAGACCGTCATGGCTCTCTCATCTCTATAGTCTACACTAAGAGGGGGCCTGAATGGGGGGATAGTGATTACAAACTACGCAAAATTTTTTCAGGCAATTACGAATTACGTTTAAGTCTCAGAGCTGATTACGACTTTATGCTTTGCAGCTAATGTACTATTACGAATTACGTTGATTTTTGGGGAGGCTGCCTACAGATTACGAAGACTAAAAAGGCCTGATTACGCCTTACAAAAAAGGGCATGCAGGCCTAAGAGTGTGCCTTCCCGGATCCTTCGAAGTCCTGCGCTCGATATGGGACAGCAATAATTAGAAAAGTCAGCTGGGAAGACCAGTGCAGAGACCAATGTAAAGGCCCTATGCCAATAATAAGCTGGGGCCGGAATACTCCAAAGCCCATCTGTAGAGAATGGTTACCAGGCTAGTTAAGGTGAAGGTAAGACTACTTACAGACTACCTCAAAACACCTGAAGATGCTGGCAAAACGACAAGCTAACCCTTCATACTAATGGGGGTATCTGAATGTTTGCCAAGGACATGCCTATAAATAATACACATAGATCACTGGCTTGTAGGCCTTGAACTTCAGATAACAAAACATATGACTTCCTTAAATTACAATTAAATACAATTTTTCACACAAATATGTCATACAGATTGACATTCACAACCTGACAAGGTTCAACGACCTTAATTTCTTCCTTATCTCTGTCTTTCCTGTGTCCCAGTTTCTCCTGGACCAAATCTGCTCACCTCACCAAAAGGGAATGACCTTTCACCCCTCGGTGACATGTTGGACTGTAAAGTCGCAGCAGGTCGGCATGGCTGGAGACAAACTGTACATTGTTGATATAAACATACTGTGCCTTTAAAAATAAGCATTCAAGTACTGTGTATACCAGAGATGCTACAATATGCTGACAAATGCAAAAAGGTGTACAAGATCCTTCACGCTAGGTATGTGAACAGTCAAAAATTGTAAAGTACAAAATAATCATAAGACATCTAAAATATGCCACGCACACATGAAACAGAATACCCTGTTATTAATAAAAAGGACCTGGCTCTATCTTTCATCTGGAATATGTTGTTACTCAGATCCGTATCTCTAACCAGGTTGCCACATGATTTACGTTTCTCTCAGGAAGGATTGTCACCAGTTTTACAAACCTTTATCTGGAAAGGCATTTGGGAAGTGTGTGGACCATTTGCCTGCCAGACCCCATGACTCTGTCTTTGTCAAAACATCATTCTAGTTTTGAGGTTTAAATGCTAACAGATGGAACACTGGCTGAGGGTCTAGAGTGGTACCAGAAAGAAATGGTTAGTCCTCTTCTAGATTGATCAACCAGTAGATCAACGCTTGTAAATATGTTTCACTTTTGTTGAATGTACAAAATAGACTTGTCAACTGCTATTGAGGTATGTTTTGCTTGATTTCATTTCTCACAATTTTCTTCATGAACTTCTCTGCAAACCCCTATCACAGCCTCGAGGTGGTGGGTAATACCTGAAGAAAAGTGACTTCTGGCCATCACAAACTAAATCCAGAAGATTAGTAAGCAGGAGCACTTTTACTTGTCTGGCAGATTTATGCCTAGTAATTCCCTGCAGAAATGGTCCAGTCTACAGGCAAGGACACTCTCCAGAACTGGACAAAAATGTGTCCAATCATCAGACTATCAACACAGTCCTGCAACACTCATTAATCAAACCATCTACAAAGCAAAAATAACCTCAGCAAGGCTATCAAAACAACAAGAAATAAGATTTTCACACTGTTGAAGTATACTCTTTTCCAGATGGAATACATATTTGGCAACCAAGGCTTGCAATATTACAGAGTTAGCCTTGAAAACATACGTTTTGGCTGAAATGTCTGGGTTTTGGGATCGAATGTGTGACCCTTCTGCCCTGGAGAGGTCTGGAAATTTTAGTGGGGCAGCTGGTTTATGCTACAGCTGAAGCAGGCCAGTAAAGAACAAGAACAAGATAAACAAACTTTTAACTCTAAAGACCTTCTCTCGATACAAGAATTTCTGCAAGACAGGTTTGGACAATAATACTTACTTTAATTCCTTCCCATCTTACCTGGAAGATTTGTATATTGTGGTTCAAACAGATGATTGAATTTGATGTAAGGAATTGGTTCTCTAATTTGTTGGAATAGAATGCAGACTGTTTCACTGAGTGACTCAGGGTGGGTGTGACACAGCGCTCCATAAACAATTTTCCCTTTACGAACTGGAATGTTCCATGATCATACAGGCACACGCAATATGATGTAAAGTAAAATAAGAACAGATGGAAAACTTGACATTTACAGATCATCTCATAATAAACACCTCGTAAACACAAACAGGCTTGGTAGTGGGGAAATACACAGACATGTTGGTCTGCCACACATTCAGGGACACTTCCCTCATTGTCCTGTACAGGCTATCCTATCTCCCTCACAGACCATTGTTTAAGCTTCTACAAAACAAGTAAATAACAAACAAACGTGAAGAAACCCACCTACCAAGTCAACAACAGTGGCCCTTTCAGAAAGCTGGCAAAAAAAAAAACACGCTCCTTCCAAAGAACCTCCCTCTCAACGTCTAATTGGAAGAAATACCAAGACCAAGGGGCTCTATCTCAAGAATGCACATTCCTGTATTGCTACGAAGGTCCCAAGTGGCAATGGTTCCTTGGCAGCAACCAATGCTAGCTTGTCCTCCATGTCTTATTTACATTCATATCGGTTACGAGTGCTGTCTGCGAGCCATTCCGTAGCACGCAATCACTCAGCCCCACCATGCTCATTATCACCCATGAGTACCCACGGCTAAGATTAGGATAGGAGCTCGCGACTCTTGTTTAGACACCCTAGAGTAGCCTGGTAACCATACCATCGTGAGCTCTACAGTACTGGGAGGGTTGCCCTGCCACCCTGGCCGATCAGTGCACATCAGGGAATTTACTTCAGGATAGCAGTTATCAGAAAGGCCAGCTAGATAGATAGGCTGTCAGAAAAAAGGCCTATACTTACTAGAAGTCCAGCACAACACCCCTAAGCCGAGAATGGTTACCAGGCTATCCCAACAGCGATTCAAGTCTGGCAAGGATGAGGAGGACCTGAGTTGCCATACAGCAAGTTAGAAACGCCACACAGGGATGCAGCTAGGCATGGCTGGCAGCCTTATCTCCTGCACTGTCTAATCTTATTTGACTTGAAAGACTTTGAAACTAGTTTTTCCCCTCAATAATGCCTTTCAGAAAAGGAAGATAAAACCTTTGGAGGGTGTGTTCTTCAACCCGGCATCTTCAGCAAAGGACAAGCGCCTGGACAGCTGCCCCAGAACTTCTCCATTGGGCTCCATCTCTACAGCCTCAGAGGCAAGAAGGTGCTTCAACCCTTCCTTCTCCCTGGGGCCAACTAAACTAACTCTCTTAGCTCACACACACACATAACACATTCCCCTCCAATTAGCTCACCATAACCACCTGATGGCTTACTTATTAACCCCTGCTCTCATGCATTAATCAGCTACGGAAATCTTCCCTGCAAATAGACCAACAGGAATAAAAACACTCCTGCAAATTTACTTTTATGCACTGAAGGCAGACTTGCGAGCCCTGCCAGACATGTTTTACATCGCCTAGAGTGACTGGTAACCTTTCTGGCCCAGCATTTGGGAAAAGACTTGAAAGAAGCTGAACACATTCCTAGCTTCCAACAGCTTTCACCCAGCCTGAAGGTGCCAGCCTGCCCAGGTCCCCCTGATACTTCCCAGCACCACTTACATGTGTTAGCCATCTTCAACCAGGGTGGAGAGGTTGCCGCAGACTCCTCAAGAGACAAGAAGAGGCTGAGAAGATGTGTGGAGAAGACTGCTCAGAAGAGTACTCCAGAGGTGGAAAAAATGGTGGGAGCAGTCATGCAGGATGAAGAGAGTCAGTTGCACAGGAAAGAAGCTCCTCTAATGAGACACAGGTTTGGGAAGGTAGGAGGTCAGAGGGTAGGGAAATTCAATCCTTCTGTCACCCCCCTCCCCCATGGGTGAGTTGACAATCTGGAGGTTTACCTCCACCAATCCCTGCATCCCAGATGTGTCTTGTGTAGACTGTGTCTAATGATCACTAATGCCTCTGCAAACAGTTTGCTTGTTTGGCTCTCCTGAAAGTATGTAAAACACTGACAAGATCCCACACGATCCAACACTGATACAACTTCTTCCATCGTTATCATCTATTTCAACCTAACAACCTGAAACAGACCAGAGCGGCAAATGACCAACTGTCCCCACCCAGCACCAAGAATAACCTGCCAACCCCTGTATCCCTGTGTGAAATGGAACCATCCAGTGTTTACGATTGCTGCCTGTTCTGAGCAGTCATGTGATGTTTTCTCACATCTGTTCCCCATCACCCTAAAGTGGGCCCAACTCAATCCAGTCCGCAGTCTTTCTGACCAATTACACAACTGCTTGTGTTCCACTTTTTATGCCACCTTTCCCTGAGGGAAGCAACATTGTGAGCACGATACTGACCAAGGCTTACAGGATGACCTGAAGGATTTTCAGTCTTAGAAATGTGTACAGAGTCCGGCTTGGATATCCAAATTAAGGTAAGTAACCAGGTATTGCCGTTACAATTCTTGTGATAATGAGCTGGAGAAACAAGTAAATCTTAAACTAACAGCCTGTGTCTTCTTCTTGTTCTACTACTTGTTTTCCGCCTCTTTGTGTTCCACAATATATGTACTTCCCTTCAATCACCTGTCATTCGATGGTTGTCACGCACACAGTATCACTTCTTATGTGTTGCATTTCCAGGTCTAGCTGCATTCATGGTGGGTAAGTATACAATACTTTTAAAAACAAATTTCTAACCTCTTTTCTAGTTCATAACGACTTCATATCACTTTCACAACACAAAAGTTCTTCACAAAGTTGTGGTTGTGCGGATAGCAAATACGTATGGACATTAAACCTTTCTGCTGGCTTTGATAACGAATTCTCCCAACCATGGCCTCCTCTTACTGTTGCTTTAGTACCAGGAGCCAAGAGTGATGGTATAGCTTTGGGTCAAACTGCATTCCACAACAACTGGGTGGTGAGACATGACAAGAACCATCTCTCCAGGCTTTGGTTGTCAGTCCTAGTGCAATACCACCTGTAATTTGTAGAGGGAGCTCCTAGCATGGTGCTGGATAGAAAAAAAATGCCACCAATGTCATAAGGAAAAGTTCAAGAAAAAGATTGCCTGATGGATACGATGGTACCCAATACTTTTGAATACAACTAGATTTGTTAAAAATCAAATTGATCAGGATAAGATAATTGGCCATGTAATGTACATGTACTATCAACTTATCACTTCCAGAAGTCAAATTTGTCACATTATCTTTCACACTTCTTTTTTGTCACAAATGCTCTTAACCTGCACTCTTAAAAAGATAAGAACCTTGGTCAACACCGTTAGTAGCTAGAGACACAGACGAAATGTCAAAAATGATTATCTATTACATTCTATCAATACAGTGGGATACAGTAAATGAACACAAATACAGGCAACACATTGACTACGTATACAAACACAACCATAATATCATTAGAGTCATTTAGAATATGTACCTTCAGTTACAAGTGTCAACCATCATTAAGGTCAAGTTGATATAATTACTGTCATATAAAATGCTTTACTGCACTTACAAGGAAAGTCAAGCATCATCTTGTGTCCTTGCGACTTCCACTTGTCAAACAGACCTACCACAGTCGAAAGCTAATATCACAACTTGTAAAGGTCATAATATCATACCTACAATATTGTTGCATAACCTTCTGCAAACAGACTGTTCTATTACAGATAATACTAGCTTTTTATATGATGAAGAGCTAATTCAAACTTTGATGAAATCACAGTCATAATTATAATCCTCTTGCCTACTATCACAATAGACAAATATGAGATTATAACTTATAAGTCAATGCAATGATTTGATACATTATGATGAAAACCTCATTTGGCAATGTGACATGTGAGTTGACGTATAACCCAAGCAACAGTAGTTAAGATTACAGAATGATGATATTTTGGCTGGCTTGCTATAATTAGGGTATATCAGATACAGGGTAGATGGTAGGGTTCCTGACACCATATCTCTGTGTCAGTACATGATCCTCTTCCGTTTGGCAGAGACTCGGCGTCTATTATTGGAGTTCGGGGCTGAAGATATAATACCACCACTTCACCCCATCCGCACTTTCTCTGTTGCGGTTTCGGCGTACAAGACCTCTTAAATGACGTCTCCTAGGGCAGCGACAATAGGGAACTATGCCAGCTTTTGTGGACTCCCTCTTTCTTTCAGCGGCCCTTGGCAGCACTTGTTTTCATTCCTAGTGCCTTTCATATGCAAATGAGGAAAACACCCCTGAATAGCCGCCGCTAAAATGGCTTCCCTCTTGAAACGGATTAGACGAACTCCACGCACGCCAATCTACACAAGATACTCCGGGTTGTTCCAACATAAACTGCACAGACACTACAGAAATCTGGGCTTTTCTGTCATGTTTTTGGAGACAGGTAGCTGTTATCACAGTTCTTTCAAACCCATCACAGCAGAAAAAGGACCATAACACAATACTCTTTTATACCATCCACACGGGGCATGAAGTCCACATTACCATAAGAATTCACCCGCATCGGACAACACAAGCATAGGTCAAGGTGTTTTACCCCTACAGAATACTAATACTGACAGCATAGTTTCTGCCACTATGCTGGGGTAGGTACAAACCTACCATGTACTTCTGTAAAGATCGATCTATGGAGATAAGATGCCTTGGAACTCCTGGCATTCCAAACCTGTCCAGAGAACAACAAACCTGTGTACTCTGAAATTGCTGTGTTGTCTTAGCAGCGAAAGTAGTCATCACACCGCTGACACCTGTGCCAGCGCCCTGGAGTTACCCAATCTACTGTATTTGGTTTCCTTTATGGCTTTACCTTTCTTTACTTTTAATTCAATGGACACTTTACTCGGACCCTTACATACATGTGTGCATTGTGAAGTCAATATACCTAAATTGTATATCACAAGTAGTCTACGTCTAAGTAAACCTAAATCTAAGTATGTGACATAAGTCACATAACTAAGTTTCATACTGTGTCAAAAAGACAACCTCTCTCACCCTGTACAGTGTACCTAATAGTAATACCTGACTATCAGAGTGTTTAACTCCTGTAAAGCATTGGCATAACTGATTTTCTATCTATATATCCTAGATCATTGGTAGAGTAGTCATACTCTGTATTCAAAAGAATATAACAATTGAAATTTTTGGCTATAATAGTAATTGCTAACCTACCATTCTCTACTTCACATTTTTAGCATGGTTCAAATAGCTGAGGTGAGACTAAAATCAATACTTTACCTGGTTACAGGACTCAACAAACAAACATTACTGGAAAGGTTACACTTATGTGATAAACTGTGACTTAACTGCACAAAAGTAACACAAAGACCAAGTCCATACCATTATCATACCATGAAATCATTAAATGTATTGATAAATGTAAATAATAAGTCAGTTTGTTTCAAGCTGCCAAAGGAAACTGGTCTGCAGTGTCGTGTAACAACATATGGTGACTTCTAAAATATATTCAACTGACAACACCTAAAAAACCAATAAATCAATAGTAGGGCTACAATATTTGTTTCCTACAAATATTTGATGACACTCAAGGTTGGATATATACCACGTGAATACAGAAAAATGGAAAATAATACCTACAATTAGACTTAATTAATTCTTTCCTACTAATCCTAGAAAGTAAATTTTTGCCTGCTGAACATCCCAAAAGACTCTGTCTGTATATAGTAGCCACTCATAAAGTCATATGTTCAACAAATCTAGATTAGTATTTGTATAAATATATTATATATATATTATGAGAATCATGATATGAAATCTAATCCTAACAGCAAAAGAGAATGACAGCAAGGGAATACAGATTTGGTGGTCTGCCATAAATCATATCCAAGGCCATAGGAATGACCTCCCCTAACTTAACCCTACCCAGACCACCTTGAGTTCACCTTGTGTACAAACATTAATAAGGACAGGGCTGTGAACATCAAGACTTCATAAATCAACTGGTCAGGTTTCAAGAATTCATATCATGTCTCAAGGATCACAGATGGCATCTTGGTAGACTAATAAGATTTTCCTCAAGTTTACACATGAATTTCGTCCAAAGCAAACCCATTTCTATCATAGTTTTTCAAGTGGTGTCACCTATCTAAAATCAAGAAGGCCTTACAAAGAAAGAATTTTATGCTATCACCATAAAATTCCAACTATGTGTGCGCACGTGCTAACCTTGCCCAAAAAGTAACCTGGCTTTCTCTCCAGTTGGACTGTTGCCCAGTGGCCCCTCCCACCTCTATATAACAGCTTTGCCCTCACACCTGAAGCCAATTTGACACGTTCACACCCCTGTATCTAATCAGGAGGTTCGTGTCTGTCATATTTACACTACCCTGCAATTCCAGCAACAATAAACTGTAAACACAAATTGCAAGAACTGGCTCGATAAAGATTCCTATGGTAACACTCCTACACACACGTTCCTGGCTGCAGTAACTTGTGTGGATACAAAGGTCACAATCCACATAATGACTAATAAATCAAAAACATGTGTAGTACAAGTGCAGGGTGCTGCAGGAGACACAACAACTTTGTACTTTGACTTTTCACTAACACAGGACTTCATAAATGTTTAGCTGTTGTCTACCTGTCTTCTGTCTTCACTCGTAACTTTTTAAATTCTTTAGAGTTTTAACCGTTGCAGGTCTTAGATGTACAAGGGAATGTTCTATTGAACATGACATTCATTCTATTGTAACTCGTTAAGTTCAATTATCTTGGTTGCTGAAAGTTGCTCTATTCACAAGACACAAGGAATCTACTAAATCTTCCGTGTTGCTTTTCCACCAGTCCAGGTGAGGACAGAAGTACCTGTTCCTGATTGTCCAACGATCTCTCACACAGGCTTTGGCCACAGAAGGGTGGTGTTGTGTACTTTACAGCATCACATACCAGCCTGAAAGCTTTTACAGACTGCAGCGAGTGGGGGTCCCCTTGACTTCCTTCCTTTGGGAAGCTGTACCGCTCAATTACACACTGGTATTGCCAATTAGAAACTTCAACCGGATGTGTAACCAGCGTAAAGCTGAAGCTGTACAAAACATTTTTATCTTTTTTTGGCAGAAATTGTCAGCTAGCAATAACATATTTTTAGGGACGAGAATCAATGAGTATGGGTCAATCTACCCAACCCTAACTCAATAGTTTAAATGCAAGGAGACACAATTTCAAATGTCTCATCGTAATTTTTAGGACTTGTCCATCAAAACTCCCTGGTGGCTCAGGAATAATATGTTTTTCTCCCTCAAGGATTGGAGCAGGGGGACTGAAGTAAAAAAGGGCCATCCAAACAAACATCACATACCAGCAGCCTCCCCTAGCATGACAACACCTCACTGACTGGGTCATGCGACATGGAACCTTAGGACAAGCTGTGGCAAGTATGGTTGGGCTGACGAAAAGGACCACTTTTAAACTTTAAAGTCATATTGATTCTCTTATTTGCATAGAAACAGTAGAGCAATTTCAGTAACGACAATCAAACTTCACAGACGGTAGTATTATGTATCTCTGACCATGCTTGCTAAGATCCTGTCAACATTCTGGAAAGTTTGATCACCTACATTTTGGTTCTAAATGTCAGAAAAACAGAGAACTGCCCTACCGTAGGAAACAAGTTTGACCCCAGCTGTTTTGCTATCATTTCCTACGATCTACAGCTGTGGATAGCGCTGTAGAGACCGTACACACGATGGGAGTAAAAGGGACAAAACTGGGTGTAAAGTATGCATACAAAACTGTTAATCTGAAATTGGAGGCTTGGGTCACGCCAGCCTCTATTGTGCTGTGTACCCCACAAACATCGCAGGTGAACTAAATATATACAGACCTGAACGTTCCTTGATGATTTTGCCGAATTCGTCATGGTCGTCTAGATCGCCGTATTCCTCGTCGTTAATGTGGTAGGAGTACTCAGCCATGGTGTAGACTTGTTTTCAACCTTTCCCTCCGTTGAATGTGTATCACAGGGGGGATCCTAGCGTTAGAGAACCACCATCGCAAAATGCAAACAAGAAAATTCCACTAAGCAAACGACGCGCCCTTCTTCCAGCCGTCCAATTCCGCCTCTTCCCGGGGCTTGTCCTCGTGTTAATCCACTGCCACGGACCTGCAGGGGCGACACAAGGAGGAAAACTCAGCTCTCGGGCCAGAAACAAGGTCGCCGGACATGAAATATGGGTTGATTTTTATCGCAAATCTCACCCCCCTGTTGTAATTGTAATGTATTGGGTTGAGGTCACACGTGGAAAACATACACACCGATGCGCTGCTCGGATTTCGGTGCCAAGTTTGCACGCCCAACACACAAACTTTACGCCAACCTGTTGCATCCAGAGCGTGACCAACAGTCCCTCCGTAGCTTCCCCCAAGTTTTCTCAAGCAGAAAAGATGGATCGATAAGGCATAGGGAGTCCGTTAGGACGGGACCGCTAGCTGGACCGGTTGCTTATGTTGCATTTACACCGCTAATGATTGTTGGTGAAAATGAATACACCCCCAGGGAACAGGACATTCTCACTAGACAGGGAGGGGCTCCAACAAAGTCACAAAATCGATATCTTTTACAGCGCGAACAAAACAAATACTTTTCATTTACGAAATAATAAAACTAATGTGAAGTACATCTATGCATGCTGTACACCAAAAGTATCAAGAATATGTGGTATTATTGTCATAGCAGTTTTACAAAAAAGTTCAACCCCCCTGTTTTGAGGAAATCTCAAGGGTCCAAAACAAAAAGATGGCGGGACATCCTGATCACATGACCTGCACAGGTCTAATTTATGTAGCCACTTATTTGTAGCAGTGTCACACCTGAATGCATCTTTACAGTCAGTACAATGGGAAAGTCTTTTGTCACCAAAATACTGCTGTTACGTCTACATCCGTTTTCCTTGTCTAGGAGAAAACAGACTTGCATTTCCTGAAGAAGTCTGTGTGCCGACTGAACAGGTACGAATGTTTTGTCTGAAACTGTCAGGTGGTAACCGTATGCTGGTTCCAGGGCCCGCTCAGGTGTGCACAAAAATCAGGGCTGTTTGAAGAAGAAGTAAGGTCTTACGATATTTGTGGGCAGAGGGAAGATTCTTAAGTGCGTGAAAGTCTTTTGCTTATATTTTTCTGTTTACCCAATGTCGTGATTGACAAAGTTTTTTTCTAGGGTTTCTAAGGAAAAAAGAAATTTAGTTGAATCAAGGATTAATTGGTTGAATGGGGAGTCTTATAAAGCTAGCTATAGTCCAACTAGTGACCTTAACCTTACAAGAGTCAAGGTCAGTTGGAAGTAGACTTTAATAGTTTTATTCAAGATTTGTACGGTTAAAATGGTTAGAAATTGAACAGGCCCAGTAAGCCTTTATAACCACTTTGTACCACTTTATACCAGTTTTTGAACTTTGGACAATATCCAAGTTTGGACATTTGTTGTAGCTCCTTTTCAGAGAGAGGTCAAAGATGAGTTTGCCTGAAGTTTTAAACACTGCATGTTATGTGTTTGCACTTGTATGTTTATCTTTTCTCCACTGGGAGGCCTCTCGTGTTTATACTGTACACTAATATCCATACACATGTAGTGTAGGGAGGATGTTGATATGATTATTTTATTGATGTGTCCATCATGCTTTTGCTACTCTTCAAGCAGAGGTAGGGTCGCTCGGTATTTTGGCAGTATTTTCGCGTTTTTAATACGTCTTTCTACTTTTAAGTAAGGGGAGGAAGACCAGAGAAAAACCGTAAAATTAGAAAGACGTATTAAAAACGCGAAAATACTGTAACAGTGCTAACTGACCATGCTAAATGGTCGTGCGACCTTTTAGTGTAATGGTTAGCGTTGGTGACCGCCAAGCGGACAACTCGGGTTCGATTCCCGGTTGTGACATGCTCGCCCCTTTCGGTTTTTACAGTGGCGCCCGATGTGGGCCCTGTGAGTACTGGCACTGAGGATAAGTGTGGCAGCTCCAGGGATGTCGGACTCGGAAGATTTGAGGACGAATCTTGAAAGAAAAGGGGGAGTAGTGTAACAGTGCTAACTGACCATGCTAAATGGTCGTGCGACCTTTTAGTGTAGTGGTTAGCGTTGGTGACCGCCAAGCGGACAACTCGGGTTCGATTCCCGGTTGTGACCTGCTCGCCCCTTTCGGTTTTTACAATACTGCCAAAATACCGAGCGACCCTACCTCTGCTTGGAGAGTATGCTTTTGCAGATCTGAAGTCTTAATAAATCAATACACAAACAGTATTTTTAAACATGGTAGAAAAAACATGATGAAATCTGATGGATGTACAATGTATTTGCCTTTCGATTGATATAATGCACGTTTAGCTGGAATATGAGGCTCAAATTTGATTTGATATATGAATTCCAATGTCTTTCCTACATTTGAACCCAAGATGACTAAAAACCGAATGGCCTATAGCTTAAATGATTGAGGAGACCTCACCCTATAATACCTACCCTCTGTTGCTTGTGATCACAGCAAAAACCTGTGCGCAAGGCAGCTTGGCTATAAATATGAAAACACCCACTGACTAAAGGTCCCTTTGGGTATCTTAATTGAAAGTATGATGACTGTTATTCCTGTAATGGTGTCATAAGGTGGGGCATCAGTCTATCTGAAGTGACAGTGCCAATGTTTCAATTGCCTTCAAGTGCCAAGTTCGCACATCATATATCACATACCCAGGCAGCTGGGAGTCAGTCAAGTGTGGTAACAGGATTAATAACGTGTAGTTTTCCCTTTCAGCATGGCATAGTGGTGACTGACTGTTGCCTTGGGGAATTTGGATGAGGCAATACAAAACATATCTGTCAGGAATCTCAGATCTGATGCCAGCACTCAAGTAAAAACAGAGCTGGTGAAAAAAATACTTGCGTTTGTTTAGGGAACTGGTCAAAATCAATGAGTATGGGTATGTGGATGTCATCCATAGATAAAGTTGGTTTGGCAGGGATGGCTTGGGTCAGGTGAAATTGACACAACAGCTGTTGCGTGGGTCTGGGAGCCAGCTGGAACTAGTCTGGGCCTGGCTGTGCAGTCCAGTACAACATTGCATTATATGCCGAATTCCCTGGTGTTTTTGAAGGTCCCTATTGCCTATAAAATATCAAGGCCAGTCTTATATTCAATACTTTCCCCAGCCATTTGAATGCATTACTCAAGTGGCATTATATTGGTGCAAAGTTGACAAACATCTGAGGTAAACAGACAACACAAAATTTAATGAGCCTTTTAATGAGGTATTTTGATCAATAAAATAACTATTGCTGATTTGTTGTCCAATTCTAGTTATAATGTAGGAGTAGTCTGTAGGGTTCCTGTGATGATATGTGCCAAACTTATGATATTGGGCCGCATTTCAGTTGACCCCCCAATATGGTAGCAAACTTCACTCTACCTGAACCACCTGGACATATTCAGGTTTTAAATGGTCCTCGTATATAATAAGATTGTCCTTAACTGTTTTTAATGATGGAGAACTCGCCCACTGTATCTCCCATGAGGGTTAGGGCCAAAATAATCACTACACAACAAAGTAAGATGAAAGACCCTGTGAACGAAGGAGGACTTTAATTGTTTTCTTGTCTGGCCTTTGGAATGATTTAGCTTGTCTTTGAACTTACCCAACAAAATCTAATGAGTTTTAATGACTGCGCAATGATATGCACTTATCCAAGATTCACTGATTTCTTCTTCCACCAAAATTTGCATAATCCAACAAACTTTTAGCCTGTTATTATGGTTTGGTATGTTACTTCAAAGAATAAAATTCCCTCTACTTTGCAATATCTTTTACAATTGTCCATTAAATCTTTCCAAACATATGAGTGTTGTTTGTAACGATTCTGCATTTTAACTTTTTTAATAAGGCAGTGTTATCTGAGATGGTTTAAACCACAATCTTCCTATCAGTTGGTTTGACTTTCCATTTATGTACCTACAGGAAGGAATTCAGATAGAGTCATAAATCAGCCATGAGTGTTGCTATAGCTGTATAATAGGGTCATTATCTTCCACGGAAACATTGTGGTGGGACCTTGCAATGTGATTATTGAAACATTCATTATTCAAACTATTGGAATTATTTTTTCTACTCTTTCTTACACTGTGCTGTAGTTACAAACCTTTCTGTATACAAGAATTTTATTTTGTTCCTTGAACGGGAGAAGTGAATGACACTGATTTATAGGCAGCATGAGAATTTCAATTTAGGAATTAAATTTGGTTGCACAGCATGACAGCGATTTGACAAAATGATGTATAACAACTTACTGGTATCATAACTTTTGCATGGATTACTCCTAGCTTTAAATTGTGTTTCTGGGATTTTCTGTTTCATGATGCAAGTTGTTACACCGGTCCATTAATTGCGATGATGCTACATGATGGGACCTATTAGGACAAGCCTGTTGCGTGCATGTGTGCCTACATTTGTACTTTCTGTTGTCACTGTGAGTTTAGCTGGACCCTCCACAGCCTCCACTGAGATAAGGTTCACAGCAGCCACTACTAATTGCTCCCATCTGCCATCTATTAGTACAAGATGGGCCCATCCTGTCCAATTAGCATGGAATCCTCTCAGCACATAAAAAAAGAAAACTGTGGCAACTTGAGAGAACTTTTTCTTTCCCTTTAGCTCTCTTCCGTTTCACTATGTGTTGTTTGTAAGAATGTATAATAGCTTGGTGACACATAGCACTCTAATGAACAGAGGAAAGGCCGCTAGTCAACACACTAATAATCGTCCATCGAAATGTTCATCTCCTGGCATTTTCCTGCTCAATCACTATCAACTTGGCATTTATCTGTGAAGCTTGTTTTTGTAAGACGCCAACAAGAAATAAGGATGTAATTTCTTACGAATTCCCTCCTATTGTTGTCAACAACATCTTTTGGAGATAAAATGCACTGTGTTTTAATAGCTGCAGTTGTGAGATAAACACTTTATCCTAAATGAATCTGCATAATTTTTTCTAAGATATATTTTCTAAAATATTGCGTGTATACATTTGTACTTTTGTATAATCATCTCAACTGTATGTTTTTCCTAAACTATAACGCTATATCTTGTTTTACAGCTGATTATGTGGACTTCTCGGACCCAGCGAAGACCACCACGTGACTGGGGATCCCAACAACGAATGTAAAGAATTCCCCCTATAAAAATAGTCCGGGTCATGGTTTACTCACTAGCTGACTGTCTAAATAAGTAATTGCCATCAGTTTCCTCAAGGGGGCTGAAAATGTTTACTGGCCCATCTCGAATGGTCCTCCAGAGTCCCCTTTGGAAGTGTCCACATCTTAAACTGTTGCTCAGTCGCATATTGATACATTTTGACAGATCACGCTGGGTGGAACATTCCACGGACCCCTCATGGGGTAGATATGGGCAGACACCCATCCAGGCAGGCGTCATATGGTGATATTATATCCATGTTTGTATACGTTTCGCATTTCTTATTGTCTAGTCATATCTAAATAAAAGCTGCTCATAATTCTTCCCTGTTTGAAATCCGAAAACTGTACAGAAAAAGAGCGTTTCTCCTCTTCAAACGACCAAAAAAAAGCATACACTTACCGTTGATAAAGTTGTTGATAGCCAAGCCTCCTAATTTAGGATGATGCTCTACACATCACAGCTGAGGTTACAGTAGATGTCAGAGTGACCAGTGTCTCTGCCTCTACCGTAGCCTGGCAAGATGAAACGTGAACTTCAGAGCAAAGTGCGAAGCACGAGACAGGAGGTGAAAAACAAGCGAGGGACTCTCAGCGACTACAGGGGCCACACTATGCGCAGATCAAAGGATGGGGCATACCGAGGTCTACACACCCAGGTCAGCTTGCTGGTACTGCTGGCAACTAGAACAGGCTCCAACCCTAGCCTGGTAAACTGGGGGTGGAGTAGGGGACTGTTCATAAATCATGGGGCAAATAGTTTGGGGTGGCCTTGCAACCCTTCTGCAAGGGGTCAGGCCAGTAATGGCTTGGGGAAGATCAAATGTGTTCTTTGATTTCATATCATCTTTTTTATTACGGCTAAAAATAAATTGTGAAATATTTCTGGGTGTATAGTGTTTTTCTGTGTTGTCGTCACTTCATCCCCTTCAACTGAAATGAACTTGCCCTGTTTATTTTCATTTCCTGACCACCTAGAGTCCAGAATGCCATTATATTTGGATGCTGTTTATTGACTTTTTTATTTTAATGAACACTTTCTATTTTTTTCCTGACACACAGAGAGAGGAATTTTTATAAGCCCATTGCCCACCCACAGTCGGGTGTGTCTCATATAGACATGAGTCACTCCTGAACTTCAACATGGTAAAATCATTTAATTAAGGTCAAGTAAGAGAGACACTGTAGAAAGGAATTTGTGAAGTATGAAAATTCAAATTTGAAAGATTTTTTTTCTGGCTGTAGTTGACCCAACATCCTTTCACATAGCCCAGTAGGGGCAAACAGAAACAGATAATTATCTGCAACCATTCAGATATTGTGAAAGATCCAGGTCAGGGGGTTGTCGGAATGCAGCCATGACATGTCTTTGAGCTTGGAAAAGACTAGAGACATTTATTTTCATGCTTTGAATATCTACATTCTGTTAAATGTAAGCAAAAAGCAGTATCTGGTGACTCAGCAAATCAATTTACAAAATTCTTTTGCCTGGAAAAAAATAATATTCAGTGGCTGAATAGGTTGGCGATGGAAGATTCTTTTGACAAAAATCTTACTGTCGATTTCATCTAGATCAGTGTCATGGCTGAATTAATGCCCCACCCCTTCCTCATCTCCCCCATACTGGTTCATTTGGCATCAGATAATGTAGTCCTGATGCACACTGCATCTGTAACGGATCTTTTGGCGTCAGACCAATAGACTAGGTTTATGCCGACTTTCTTGGCACACTGAGCAGACTTATACAGCCAAGAACTTCCTCTGAAGACTTCTTATGAACTTGCCTACAAAAAGCGAGCCACAATTGACTTTCCTGAACTTCAAGGCGACTTACAAGACAAGTCACATCAAGTGGACTAGTTTCTCAGCCCCCGACGTCTCTCCCACATCCTGTGAACTTGTTAGTGTATCTACTAGTCCCAACATTTCCATATTGGTTCAGCCGATAATGGTGCCAAAAGTAATGGCTCCCATTTGTGAGAACACGCAGTTACTTTAGAGATGATGGTTTTTACAGTTGTGTGGTGTGAGTCAATGTCAGAGGTATGTATGTCTGTGGGCAGGAAACGTGCCCCTTGTGTAATGGCTTCCTGAATCACACAAGGAAAGGCGGAGTGGGCGTACTTTGAACTGCTACTTGAACTCAAGTACCATCAACATGTTGGTACACCTCTCAGGAGATTTAAGATGAGACTGAGACACTTCTTTGCTCAAGCTCTACAGTCTAGACTGCAAGCTTTTACTTTCTTCAAAATATTTTGTAAAATGCTTATATGATTTTTGTGGAAAGTTCTGCATGTTACTAAGTTTTGACAGTGAAAGCACCTTGAAAAGGATGCCAAGTTTGTTTGCAGCACTTGAAGCTGAAGTCTGATACCCCTTGGTTACCACGGTGACATAGAAACAAGCACTGTCCCCACAACTTCAAGGTCAGAGGTGATGACCTGTGTGACAGGAACGGGAGAGATCTAGGTCAAACAGATGTTTCCTTGCATCCAATTAGGGCATTTTATTTGTTTTCTCTACTAATAGAGGATGTAAAGCTATTTAGGGTACTGTCACACTCCAAAAAGTTTTTAATGGTTAAACAACTACAAATTTGTCACTAAATGAAATTCTGTTTCCTTCCATCCAGAAGTCTGGTGTAAAAATTAGGTCAGGGAACTCTGCATATAAATCCAAGTTAGTGGCTACTGTTTCCTTACAGTAAACACGACTTGTAAAAGTACAAGTACACAATCTATATCTGTGTATATTAAGGATGAGCTGTATAGAATGTTCATGAATACATAAGTCAAGTATGTTGTTGAAAAGGATGTTATGATAAGAATACTGGATTTACTGCCTTCGGGTGAAGCCAGTGCACTGAATGCAACTTTGCCAGTTGGAAGAAATATAAGCAAAAATCGATAAAGATAATTAAATTCCTATGATAAATTAGTAATAAAACAACTTTGAAATCTTATACATGTACCATATGTAAAGTTTGGCGCAAAAAAATTTATTCCAAGAAAAAGGTGATAAAAAAGTGGTATAATTGTATTCTGAACCCTAAAAAGTCCTTTGGGGAAACAACTTTGAAAAACTACAATCTTTTTAATACCTCCTTCCTTCCTGGAAGTTCAGTTGTTTCCTTACCCTGTAAGCTCCTTTGAGGATGTTTTGAAAAGAGACCCCGAGGTTTGGATTTTAAGAGTTGTCTTTGCAGCAGCTGCACAATTAAAGACAGGAACTGTCAGCAGATACAGGCTCAAAGGTCGACAAGTTTGGCACACTTCTTCCCCAGGTTTGCCTTGATGTAGAGTGGTGAGAAAAGTCTCCCCTCCAGGTATCCAGTCTGGAATGGTTGCATCTCTGTGTTCTGTCAACAGCGCAGAACACCTGTTGATCCTGCCAGGGAAGTTTTCACAGTCATCTCGTCTGAAATCACAGCGGAGAAATGTTTCTCTCCGCAGTTAGAATAACAACCCGGGATGGTTTATCCTCGGTGTTTGCATAAACACTCCTGTTGAAGATGCCATCTCTTCAGGATCTGTTATCTTTTGGTGTATCTTGTACACATTCCAAAATGCAGTCATCTGCAGTTCCAACTGAAACAAGTAGAATTCAATCTGCACATTACAGGACAAGTTGGACTTCACAAAATTTTTCACTGCAAAGCACCAGTGTTCGTCCATGAAATAAAGAAGTCATCTCTTGAAAAAGAAAAAAAATTTACCAACACAGATGAACTTTGAGATACATACCAGAATATTATATTTGGAAAAATAGCGGCTACTCTGTCTATTTGTCTAGTTGGGACAATATAAACATTTTTGATTTTGAAATTCAGGTGGAGTTTGCAGAGCTATGTACATCCCCAACTTGTGTTTCTTGAGGTTTTGCCAAGTCCCAGGGAGTCAGAAGAGAATGGATACCCAAATGGCACACCCCCTGATCAAAGCAACAACTGATCCTTGAAGAGCAACAAGTCTCGCTTGAAGGGCATCTCCAGCTGGGTGAACTTGAGTGAACTTGACCTCTTTCTGAGCCCCGGGTCCTTGTTGATGCCTTTCCCATGAATTGTCCAAAGAAGCTCCCAAACAAACACAGCGCCACATTTCTAACGACCATACCATGGGACCAATTCCTTCAACAGACTAGTCAAAATACGAGTCTGCTCACAAATAGTTTCTGACCCCTGTGGACACAGTTCTCTATGTTGTCTCCCTATTATTAAGAAGGAAAGAACTTTTTCAACGAAAAAGTCAATGGCTTTTATGATGATGTATATGTTTTGTACGAAATTGTTACAATCAAAAAAGTTTACAGTATAAGGGAGACTTTTCTGCTAAGATGGAGCAAACTGTATTGAATAAAATCATGAAAAGACAAAGATTCCCTACAACTGATTTCATAGCAGACTCTGCTCAATTGCTTTTTGTAATAAAGTTTTGTTCTGTATAGTTCTGGGGGGGAAAAAGCTAAACTCTCGGAGACTTCTATAGAAGCTGGTCTACATACAATTCTTACTTTGCAAAACATGACAAGGTTTTAGCTATTTCATTGTTGCACTCCGAGGCCTTGTCTACAGGGTTTGGATCACCAATTACAAACAATAATAAGTCCCTAAGGGCAAACGTCTCTTCATTGTTGCCAGATTACTGCCTGGTCCTTTTCTTATCTGTTTGTTTTTACTATTATTTATGAAGCGATAAATGCTGAATTCTTTAGTGAGATGTCTATTAAATCACTCTTGACTACTTCCCTGTAATTATCACTTGCTGAGCTGGGTGACCGCAGGCATTGTGTGAACATCTCTTGGGGTGTATCCCCGGTAGTTTGTCACACAAAGGATACAGATCCTCGTCAATCCCTCTTTTGTGAGTGTAAGGACGCAGTTCAAGAGAGGAGAAAATTGTGCAGCAAGATGGAAGTAAGGGGATAAAACAGAGGGAGGGCTGCATGTTCTGTAGACTGTAAGCCAGACTGTTGCCAGGGCCTACTAGGAAAATTTGCCCTGGATGAAGGACCTAGCTGGCATGTCAGTGAGCCCTAACAAGTTCTCAGACCAAGCCTGTATGAAAAAAAAAATTAAGCATTAGAATTTGAAAGCTCATAGCCTTAGGTGCCCAAACTTCAATCAGTTTGCTAAGGTGAACCCAAAGCCTTGCTCATTTTGCATCTCTACTGATAGCTATCAAAGTACTTAAAATTTTTTGCTCTGTTTGCATTGAAAGTGTTATGGCAATGTTTGTACACTTTGTAACAGTGGAAGCTATTTATGTTGTGGTATTTCAGACACAAACATGTGACAAGTAGCAGGTAAACATAAACAGTCAGGACATGTTTAGGAAGGCACACATGACTAGAGTTGTCATAGGAACTGCTGGTCACGTGACTTCTCTCATGTTGGGCCACACAAATCAGAAGTCTAGATGGCAGTTTCCAGGGCCTATGCAGGACAACTGCTAGGCTCCAGGGGGATGTGTGAGTATGCCAAAGGAGTAACCAACATATAAATCTATGGTTGGTTAACTCCTCTGGCATATCATTCTCCCTATTTGGCCCATTTGTTCAGTAATCCAAGGAGCCTGGAAGAGACTACCTCAGTTTGTAATCTCCAAGCATATCTTTTAGTTGTACATTAAGACAGCATCCAGAATATCATTGTATCCAATGCATTGCATCAATGCACTCTCTATATTGGCAAGACACTATCCACTAGGCCATGTAGGCTGGCTGTCAGAAAATGGTACAGTACATAGACGATGATGACAATATTCCCAATCAGCCTGTGATCTACCCAGTTCTACCCTTGATGTGGAGATGACCAATGTGAAATATGTGCAGGTAATTAGAAGCAGCAGGGTGGCATGGCGCTGAAGTTCCCCCAGGACATGGGAGATGACACGTCCATCTGTCTTCATAATACAGCAGAGGCTGAGGGCTGTCAGGGAAATGTTATCTCAAGCCTCCTGTCTGTAAATCTTTTCCCCACTGGCTCCTCCTTGTGGACTATTTTACCTTGGAAAATCTATCAGTCTATCTATCATACAGCTTCTAGCCAGAACAACTGGATAACCTACTACATGTACGCATGCGCAAAACCTGTAATGTATTGTGCACAGCACTTTCATCAGAGTGTCTCTTTTGAAGTCGTTTCCCTTTATATCCCATCTATAATTTTCCACAAAATATTTCGTCTGCAACAACACTCTTTAATCTTCTCCCTTCTGACTAAGATTTTATGTTGGATGATTCTAGTTTTTCTTGGTTAGTTTTCAAACTCATCTTCTTACATAATGCCCCCCTGACCCCAAAACATTTTCTTATATGGTTAAGTTTGGGAATGATAAATGTGCAATATTATAAGGTTGGATGGACTTATGAAGAAGTATCCCACAACACAGCAACTGTAATACAGACATTTTATTCAGTCATTTGTCTAATAGTTACAACCCCGCTCTATATATACAACACAGCAGTAAAGGATCATTCTTGTGTAAAAGTTATTTTGTGTGTAAAACCACAAAAATGCAGATTCACTTTGTAGAAATTTTCAGCCAAAATATACATTGAGGAATTCAATATTGTGTGCCACAGAATTCACCCATATATTTACAGTAAAACATCCTTCTAAAAAGTGCAGAATTACATATACATATTCACTTGAGAAGTGGCTGGATAGAAAAATATATTAAGTTACTGGACGGACTATGATGATAACTAAAATCAATGACATGGTAGAATTCAGTTACTAATACTAAAAATGTCTAGGATGACATTGTTGATGGTACACTTTCATGACATAAAGATGCAAATGGAGTAAACACTGGAAGCTTTTTAAGTAACATTTGTCATAAAATACAACTTCTGTAAAATGTAAGTAGATGTTGGCTTGGAAAAGCAAAGTGTTTTCTTGAAACGTCTGCTTTTCTTGCAACATGTTTTTGCATCAGTCCACATCATCCTTTAATAATTCATGGACCACAAGGCATGGAATGATGCAGACACACATTACACCTGACTCTACTTTGCAGACAACCCAACCTCAAGTGCTCTTCTGTATACAGAAGAAATATAGAATATACAGTGTGAAAAATATTTGCAAATTTGCAAAGATGGAAAGATTTGAGAATTAGGAAAGCCAAGTTATCCACCTTTACACATATCCTGCATTTTAGCCATATAGCCTTGCCCTCATTCCTGGACATAATACCAGTGTTTACCCCATGGAGTGCCATCTAGGATCCAAATGAAGTGTAGCCAATGTAGCAGAACAACATAATTGGTCCCATTTCACTGGTCTGGACCCCTATTAGGGGTCATAACCCTGTCTATATGGACTATCAGGATAAAAGGTCACTTGGGCCAAGTTTGACAGACAGTAATAGATGTACGTTGCATCGTTGTGTGCACAGCTTGTAAATTTGCTGGTAAGGCACCCTGAAGTTGCAAAGAGAAATATGCATTTTGCATAGATAAAATCACATATAGGTTTGTGCAGCATATCAAGTAGTGTACAGCACAGGCCACGAAATACGCATCAGTTTTCGCGGGACGTTCTGCGAAATACCGCGGTACGTCCTGCGGTATATCGCGAAACGCCGTGCGGAATATTGCGAAAGGCCGTGCGAAATATTGCGGAAGGCAGTGCGGAATATTGCGGAAGGCCGTGCGAAATATTGCGGAAGGCCGTGCGTAAGATTGCGGAAGGCCGTGCGTAAGATTGCGGGACGTCCCGCAGAATTTCGCAGAACTGTCCACTGGTAATGGAAACGCCGCTGCGAAACTTCTTCTGCGTAAGAAATCTTTCGCAAGATTTCGGTCGTTAATGAGCAGCCTTTGTATTCTGAGATTTACATGACACTTATTCCACCTCATTTTCACGTATTCGTTGATAATTTGTGGACAATACCGGGGATTATCAGCGCGGCGGGTCCACGCTGCCACGGCTGTGCTTGGGCGATTGATGTTTACTATTTGATACGCTGAGTTTGTTCCGATCCGTGTGATTCCAATAAACATCTCACATAACTACGAACTAGTTGGAAGAATGATAGATGCATGAATGCCTGTGTATGATTTAACAAACAAAATCTGACGCTATTATAAAAACTGCCAGACGCTCTTCTCCGCTGGAACAACGCAAGCTGGAGGTCAATGACCTGCGGTCGAACACGTAATGTGTACCGTCAACATTTTCTGCAAGGCATGACTTCGCCGAAGAAACCACTTTTTAAAATTTTAAGCTTTAAATGCTTCGACTCTGTGGCCAAAAATAACGAAGTTTGATATTGTCCCTGTTTGCAAGGACGCTATATGTTGTAGAAGCTCCTTGCTGTTTGTGATTATCGATTCAGAACTACGTGATACATTTTAGAGCGAGGCATTTTCCCATAGCCGCACGCACATATTATACTTGATCGACAGGCGTTTCCCTTTGAAGAAGTTGCCGCCCCTGCCGTCGGCGCCAACAGTCTAGCTGGGCTGCTCCAATATGATTTCGCCCGTCTTCGTTACAAACACGATCTTCACCGACTATAACCGAGGCTCTGTGATTGGTGTCTATGTGACAAATTTATATTCGCCTATCTTCGTTACAGTTCCGATCTTTACCGACCATATGTATAATCTACTAACGTTACTAGTATTATCTAGGTTCTCTATTCGAGTGTACGTGTATAGATTCAGGCGTTCGTTTGTTGTTGCTGACGGAAGACTCGTGGTAATATTCAGAGTCGAACTAACGTTTTTGCATATGAGAATTAATTATTATTGTGCCAAGCGCGAAGCATAACTCAAGGTTCTTTACGCCCCATGGCTTTGTTGACACGCATCAAAAATTGATACATTTCGTTCGCCACGCTGCCGGACCGGCGTTCCCACGCACGTCGCCATACGTAACCGCACGTAGCAGCAGCGGCGCTGGTAGACTCCCCGGCGCCGCAGACCACGTGGCGTTCCGGCGCGCCAATCACAGCGCGCAGACGGGGAGCCGCCCACCAGTCGGGCCGCAGAAGAGTTGATACTCCGCCCAGAGACACCGCCTGAAGATTGTTAGACGACTGTAGCTTGTTCCGCCCTGCACGGCCGGCGCGGCTTTGTAATTTTCTTGTCCCGATTTCATCCCAAAATTTTTTCAGAGTCAACTTTTATAGTCTGAGAACAAATGAATCTGCGTCAAATTTTGCATAAACACGTCAAGTTCGGGTTGTCCCGTACCGTGTTTATTTATTTTTCGGGTGCGTTGCCGTTTTTTTTTTTGCAAAAAATCGACTCCATTTTCATCGCACCCACTACATCGCACCCTCTACATCCTCGCGCAGGTTTATTCAAAACTACACAAACAATACATGAATCTGTTCCTTACAAATGTATTTCTCAATATATCCGAATCCAAGATCGCTAAATTTACAAATTGTACGATTTTTCACGATCAAAATTGTCCGGCATTTCTGGACGCACGTTACGAAGCGCTCCCTCCCACTCGAGTGCAACACACGTCCACCGCTACGAACCCTCTGCATTCTCGCCAATCCTCGCGCTATTAACTCAAAACCACACAAACTACATACGAAACTGTTCCTTAGAATGTATATTTTAAACATCTAAATCCCAGAATGGTAACTTTGCGAATTGTACGAAATTTTACGGTTAAAAACTGATTGGTTGTTGCTCGGAAGCCAGCGGCGGCGTGGGGTGACGGACAAAGAGTAAAATTATGTTATTTCTTTCAAAATGCTGTTTTGTTTTGTTTTGTTTTGTACGACCAAAAATAGACTATTTTAGTAAATAGATTCAGGACTGAAAGAATCTTTCGGGAATACAATATACTGTATTTGTATGTGGGTTTATTGTGTATTTGACACAATTTTGGCGTTCATTCCACCGGGAAGTGTTCCGCGATCAGCGTGGGTTTCAAAACAAGAAACACAAGATCAAGAAACAAAGCTCCCGCTAATTAGAACCCTGTAACAATTCAGACCACAGCGATCATGTTTTCGATAAATATATTTGTGTACATGCAGGTTTCAGAGAGGTAGAAATCTTAACTCAATCTATTAAACCACATTCTAGCTCAGGAATTTACGATCTTCACACTGTTGGGTAAAAAATATCGGCAGATCTCATGAACATTTTCACTCCGCGCTATAGAAAATGTAAACAAACCGGGTGTGATCTTTCTCCGCCCACGGCGCGGGTGGCCTGCATATGAATAGGACGTATTTCTGCGGAAACGCGGCCTTACGGAGAGGTGTTCTGCGGAACTTTCGCAAAGTTCTGCGAAAGTGCTCTCAGGTGCACTGCGGGAAGCCGTGCGGAATACCGCGGAACGCCCTGCGAAATACCGCAGAACGCCGTGCGTAAGATTGCGGAACGCCGTGCGTAAGATTGCGGAACGCCGTGCGTAAGATTGCGGAACGTCGTGCGGAATATTGCGGGACGTCCTGCGGAATATTGCGGGACGTCCTGCGGAATATCGCGGTACGTCCCGCAGAACTTGATGCGTATTTCGTGGCCTGTACTGTACAATAAAAATTTTCTTCCAGACCACTGATGTGTAGATTTGCAGGATTCTAAATTCTTGAGTGTACAAGTAAAACATTTCAACCTATACCCATGTGCTACCCTTGTGAACACAAGAAAACAATTTCATACGTCCCGCACTGGGACCTACACAGTCTGTACATACATAAAGATGCTGTTGTTACAGGTAGAATTCTCGTATGTAAATTTAGTCATTGTCTACGCTATAGCCCCCCTAAGCGACCCACGTGGTGGCAGGTCCGTGCCCCCTCAGCGCCAGGAAAACCTCCATCTTCTCGTCGAATCCGATGGGTCTCTCCTGCGGCTCACGGTACCTCCTGGTCATGTGCTCGCCCAGGAACTTGATCAGGTTACACTGCTCCTCAAAGTGCTGCAGCTTCTTCCTGTACTTCTTACGCACGTATTCCGAGGCTTTGGGGTTGTGAGCTGGATAAACAAGAAGAGAAATGTTAAAAGAGATTTATTCCAAAAAGCGAAAAGGCAACCAATGTCACAACTCACAACTGTTTTTCCAATACTAGTACACTGAAGAAAAAGATATATGTTATATACCAGAAGGTTAAACTTTGATAATACAAATATTGGGGAAGACAGACTTTTCTATCTCCGAAAAAAGGAAAATAATTGGCACACACACAGCCCTTACTGATCTGCCCCCACGGCATGTAATTGAATATCATCATCTGACACTAACAGGGAATTCAAGTCCACCACTCTCATTGCTGAGCTCAATACAGAACCCTTCAACACCACATTCCTTCCCAAGCTGAATGTCAGAACGTGCACTTCAACAATGCACTACATGATGGAGTGCCCACTTAATAACTTGTCAGGAAAGTTCAACATGCAGAGCAACTGATCCACCAGGAAATACAGAATCAGGATGCAGGTGTTGTACAGAGGGCTTCATGCTGTAGTAAGAAGGGATCATGTTCTCACACCTACGCATGTTCCTGACACACTGTTAGTGGCATGCTGGCCTCTACCATCTACAGCCTCACTCAAGAGGGCTTGACTTCACAGTGTTGTGATCTAATAGGCTTTCTAATGGCTAATCCTTTTCCCTTGTGTGTACCGCCTTGTTTTCGCTGCCTACTAGTACTACTCCACAGGCTTATAACCTTCTTCTAACAGGTTTCCTTGAAGTTTCCACTTTCTGCATTACATGTATATCAAAATGATAACCAATGGATTGCATGTATCCTTTGTGTGAAGAAAAGACGGAATGGAAAAATTTGTTTTTTTCAAAAATGAAGATGTGGCCCAGGTCCAACTGGTAGATCCAAAAAAGTTACAACAAAAACAAAAAAGCAAATGACAATTACGAAAATCTACAACTTCTATTTCCTATATATATATATAAGTTTGAAGATTAGTCCATAAGCACATAAACAACCACAGCAAGAGTCCTCGCCCCCCCCCTGCCATGCCAGCACACAGCTCCAACTGAGTTGTTCCAGAGGTCCAAAGTGTTTAGTTACAGTTGATTAGAATTCCGGGCATTGACCCCCATGCATTGTGTATGAACCCTACAGCTCACACTGAGGATGGAGTGTGACACAAGTAAAAAAGACAGAGAAAGTTTGAGTAGCGTTCTCTGGGCTACTGTAATCATAATATAGAATTTCTGGAGCTGCAGCCCTCCCTTGCGAAAGTAATGGTGTCAAAGTAGGGGGCCAAGTACCATAAAACCATTGACCTATCTAAGAAAAGGTGCTTGGCTCCAATCTCCAGGAGTGACCCCATCCAAGAAGTGCCCCCTGAAGTTGGATGACTGTACAATGTGCTCTGAATGCTGAGTACAGGGATAATGCATCAATCAACAATCCTTTCATGTTGCGTACTCTCCTGACTCGAACTGGCAGCCATGCCATACTCATGATTGTTCTCATTACAAAACTGCACTACTGGGGCCTGTTAAACCAACTCTAACCACTTGCACATCTCTGGCATGGTGGGATATTTATCTAGAAGCAGATAGAGGGTAATGAGTGGGCATAAAACACATTTTCTCTGGCCAATATCAATGCTGGTACTTTAATTTAAACCTCTTTCTTCTGGTCTATATTCTACACAGATTACACAGAGAGTCTCCGAAAAAGAAGTCAAACTCATTAGTGTTTAGTTGGTAAAGTAGTCACATTCTACATTGTTATCCATTGTCCATCCTTTATTTCCATGTTAGATGTACTTGCAATTAGCTTATGGGCAAGAACTTGCAATTAACTTTCTAATACGTCTATTTTTTAGGCATGGCCCCCACCTTGAAGCAGAGAGTAGATGCGAAATAGAAGCCTAGTGCCAGGTGCAAGGTTAAGCACTGGTGGTGAGGCCCTCTAAGCAGACTTAATTGGATGATGCTTGCCAGATTGGTGGGTCAGCAAGGGGGTTTAAGTTATGAGATTATACAGGACAGTCATAGCCATACAAGGAAGAAGGATAATACTGGACGTGTCACAGGACAATTATGAATTCTCACAGTTCTAATCCACCACGACACAAGAGTTGAAAAGGCTGCAACAACACGTTTCTTACTGCACACTCATGTTCAGTGATGAATATCATTCCTAAAGGATGTGGAAGTTATTTCTCAAGATGAAAAACATGTGTATCAATCTCAGGCTCTTACCTTGTCCATACATTTTCATACATACATCATATAATCCAACTCTACAGAAATGTATCTATTTGATATTTTCTTCCAAATGTTGTACTTCAGACAAGACAGCTTTACTAAAATGTCCTGTTTACTTTCTATCAGGTTTGTAGCTAATTTCTGACTTGACCCTTGATGAAGATAAACAGAAACAGATATATCAGTTTGGTAGCACAGATATCTAAACTCCTGTCAGCTGTGCAGGCCTAACAAGTAAATCCAGATTATATGTTCCCTCCAGCCTTCAGATCCAAACAAGGTGAGAGGGCCAACCTCCAAGACCCCATAAGTCCCTACATGACATAGCATATCCTTTTCATCATCAGGCAGTAAAGCTGTGAGGGAATCCTAGTAAAGCCCTACTTTCCTATACAGAATCCTACATGGAACGGAGAATGAGTTCTTTAGAATATCAGGTCTGGCAAATGTTGCAAGAAAGTTGGATACCTTTTCATTATAGTTGGCGAATGTTTATTATGTCTATTGCTTTTCCAAAGTGGAAATATTGGATACTGCTGTGAGGGTTGACGAATCCTGATACCTTCTTATCAAACATTATAAATAGTTCAACATGCCGTATTACCTCACACTGCCTTACAAGTTGCATGCTTATTTGCTTTATTTGCCACAGTTTATCACACCAGCTGTACAAAATTATTTCTTCATCACTGTGACAATTTCTTTTATTTCTCCAGTGAGTACTTGGGCTACATGTAGGCCTACTGTCAAACTTGAAAAATTATCTGTAAAGGCGAACATTCTGGCAAGAGAATTTCCCTTGTAGTTCATTTCTATACAAAGCTGGATCTCTGACTATCATATCTCTGCCCCTTACATGTACCTCTGTTCAGAAATGTACATCGTCAATGTAGGTAAAGGCAAGGTCTCTTCGTCTGAAATCTTAGCCTGCAGCCCAGATGGCCCTGCTAGTCATCACTAAAGCCTTGACTGAGAAGCATCAACAAGGCTTCCCAAATATACTGCCCCAAGTGGATTTACTCTGGATTGTTATGATATATAACAATGATGAGTCAGATGTGGCAGCTGACGTTTCTCTTCTTGGAAGGCCTTTTATTTCTATCAGATCAACTCTAAGCAAGTATCCATGTAAAAAAAAGTTCAAGAGAGATGGACATGAAACTTTAAGAAGGTGTGGATTACAGGCAATATTTTTTTAGCAGTCATCTAAACAGATGGGGATATGGGATGCCTGATGATATTGCCTCTCCCATACATGTACTTGCCCTGAACTCTCATTTTTGGGTGCATTTTTGTATTTACATTAGAGCAATCGGTCACCGCTGATATCTCCATTCCTTCAGTCTGTTTTCTTGCCATGGTAACAGTAAGAAGTTAGTCATGTGACCTTGCCAGGTTGGATGTTTCAGAGTGACCACCTGAACAGTTCTATAACACAACACAAATAAGAGCAGCAGTTCCAGATACATGATGCTGACAGACTACACCCTCCCCCAACAGTGACCTGTCAGGGTCCAGGGTGGACCTTTTCTAGATCTGTTTTTCTTTGGCCTTGTGCAAGCCTTCTGTAATGTGGTTCCTGAAGGAGTAACTGTCATGTCAGTCACAGAGTCTAGTCTGTTGAAAGTAAAGCTTGGCAATAAGTCAACCTTCAAGGGCTTTTTGTATTGAATCTATGGTTCAAACCTCTGTCACTTATATGGTGTTACTATATGTACTACTTATGCATGAATTCTGTAACACTTTTTCCCCTTTATCATAGCAGCAACCACCTGTTTTGTTTACAATCCAGCCCTACTACCAACATCCAGCTTATCCCCAAACATTGGGGGTGGGGGTGGGATTGTGACTGGCCCCAAGGGTACCAAGTTGGAGATGTGAAAACACAGGATGTAAATTTCTCTTCATCAATGAGGGTCCCATGGGGGAATCTATTATTGGCAAGCGGAAAATCCAGATTTCACCCCCCCCCCACAAGTGCCTTCACTCATCTGTCAACCCCCAGGTTGTGAGAACTTGTTACTTTGTGAAACATGACGCTGTTGATGTGTGTAGGTGCTTTTCTTGTTACTAGGACTAACACTCAAACTCATCGCCAAGTACATGTGTGTATACTGGAAAATCCCAATGCCATGCACATTATCCTCACTTTCTTTGTACTTCAACAAATAATCCGCTGAAGGAAATTGATTTTTGCTAGAAGTAGACTTAGTAAACACAAGTAGAAAACTCATTGATGAAAAATAAGTATTGTTGGAAGTGGAAGGAGTTGAAAATGGAAGATTAACTCAAGGGTAGTTGTTCCACTCACACATTCAAGTTCATTTGGGTCCTTTTTACTTCAAGGACAAAACCTCCTATGTGTATACTGGTACATGTATTACAAGAAATCAGCCATGCAATCCATGAAAGTTGTTTTGTGCTATGTTTACGGTTCCCTCGAGTTAACTCCTGACTTAACCAGTCTGTCCCATCATGATACATACGACTGTCTTGTTGCCCCCAAAAAGTTTTACCAATATGTGACTTGTTCTTACTTCATGAACTGCCTTGTAAAGGGATTTACTAAATCTTCCTTGTCGTAGCTTGCCAACTGGTAGGCCATTTAAGGGGTGAACTGAACAACTTGGCACAAAACCATCTGCCCATAACTATAACAACAGAACCTTTTATACACCGCACTCTTTCGAGTTTGTATACACTGGAGGCACTGGGTTAGCTTCCATGGTGTGCGACATTGTTTGAATTGATCAGTTCAAAGTAGTGGGAAAGAGTTTGCCTCCAGAGGCTACCTCGCTGACAGGTGGTCCTGATGACACCCCAAGGCACGCTGGAACAAGTCCAAGTTGGCACACCCTTGAACAAGGTCGGGCCTCAGGATGGAATTTTCTCTCCAAGGATATCAAAGAAGTCTCCTCCAGCTCCTTCAGCTCAGTACGACCAGCCATATAAGCTGACACCGCCTAGTTTATGTGTTTCAGGATTGGTGATAACGAGCCAAACATAAAGCATTAACAGTGTCCTTGTAGGGGTTCTACTGTAACAGTTGGGATTAACATCAATTTGTACTAATCCGAGACGCTGCAAATTCTTCAGAAGGTGCCTAGCTTGATCCTGCACTTGTATGGCTAATAAAATGTTTTTAATCTGAGCATCTTCTTTATATCAAATACAACTTCAGTTCCAATTTCAGTATTGACACTAACAATATAGAAAAGCATTGAAAAAAATTGTAGACTATCTGTCTAAATGAAGATTTGATACTGACTGAATCTTGCAATCATTATCTTTTTTGAGTTTTACATTTCTTTCAGAATGAAACTTTTTCACTAAAAAATTCCAATATAGCACAAAGTTCTCCCACCAAATATCTGATATACATGTAATTCTGGAGTGAAAATATGACAGTGTAATCGCTGCCTAAGTGGGTACTCCTTGGCCAGGATGGAAATAATTGAGCTCTGCTGGGGGTTAAAGGTCATGTACAAGGCTGTTCTGGGTCAGCAATCCCACAATCCTACACAGTCTGGCAGGGCTAAAAGCACATATTACAAGTCTCTGGTTGTCTTTATATGGCAAACAGATGGTTTCTTTAATGAAAACAGATAGTGTCACTTGTGAGGAATTGACTTTTTATGATGACAATAATATTACCAAGATATCATTAATATGTACTTATGGTGAAAAACAGGCCTGCTTGCAACAGGTATACAGGATTGCACCTACAAATGTACTAGTAGGTAGATTGTTCACAAACTTCCATCACAAGAGAAAGTTTACCAGAGGAAGCCTGTATGAAGTTAGAGGCATGGGGATTCACATTATTGGAAGTATGCCAAAATACCGACAAGCAATTTGAACTAGAACCAGCACAACATTCATCTTCCTGTAGTAGGAAGTAGCTTCAAGGAAGATAAAAGAAGATGGATTGCCTATTTGACCTTGAGTATGACCTCTCAGAATAACTGTCTCCCCCAAACTGGGAGAACTTTTAGATGTACAAAAACTTTCCTCACCTCACCAGACCTGCTTATCAACCATTTCACAGACTTCAACATACATGTGTACCCTGGTAAGTGTATGTGAAGTGTGCATGCAATGCTAGAGGGATTTGTGATGTTGCATTATTAGGTCACCTATAAGTAGATAAGACAACCATGGTCAGAAGCTGTTGGGGGTCAGCTATAAATGCTGGGATGTATCTATTCACAGCTGCCACAGAAACCAGAGCTGCTAATTCTCAACACAAGTAAAAGGAGGAAAAGGACAACTACTGAGCCAGGACCGATGTAGTAGGGACTGTCTGCTAAGACAACAAGAGCTGAAGAAATCATGGATGACAGTTATCTGTGATGGGATACAACCCTTTCCTGTAGAAGAGCCCACAACAACACCAAGTGTTTAACAGGTGTTTTAATGTGTGCAGTACCAGGAGGGGGGAGTTAGTGATGGACAGACTGCCCTGGGTACTGTATGACAGGGTCAGGACAGGAATGTGCCCCAAACATCATCCTTCTCAGACATCAAGGTCGAGTTCCATTCCCCCCCTCCCACCCTGCCCCCAGCTGTCACAACACACTCCATAGATCACCATCAGGGCTAATAATGCAGGTGTGTTGTGATAGCTCTGCCATAACAGACAAGAAGGAGGGAGTGATCCAGGAGAAATATGTGACAGGAACATTGTGATACACCCACTGGGAGTATTGTTAACAAATTCTGAATAGGATTTTATTGACTTGCATGTATTTAAAAATCTATCTTGCTCATTTCACCACCAATATTATGTATCTCAAAAATATCACAGTTCCATACAAAATATCTCTAACGTTAAGGATTCAAAAGGAACATTTTTAAGTCTGTTTTTTGTGAGAAATGGGTGGGGAATTTTCACAGCATTAACTTCTTTGAACTTGCAGATAGCAGTTCCGTGAGTCATAAGAATGTAAAGCAGCAACCCTCTGGTTTACATCAAAGATCTCTATTGAAGGTGAAGTGTTTTCAGTCTGCTCTGAACTCTGAATCACTCTAAGTCTAACCCAAAACAATGGCAAACAGATGACATGTGCCACATACTATACATAATACATATGCTCTCTGAGACTGGTGGTGTTGAACTTGAACCAAAACTCACACAGTTGTACTGTGTCTCAAGTTCGGTAGGTTTTTCTACTGAGGGACAAGCAATCTGCTGGTTCACTTGACATACAGACACAATATCCCATAACAGCAGGAAAGGTGTTTAAGAATATCCTATTGGGGAGAACCTTTTCCCCTAAAGATATACAGAAGTTTCTGTTCCCACCATTTCTTTCTGGAAGACTCTACAGGCTTGCCAAGGTGGAAAAGGGCCAACATCCCCAGGCTACCTCCTCCCTGAGTTGTCTGGTTCACTAGTGTTTGGCGTGGGGGGCTGAGGAGTCTGGGAATTAAAACTTTTGTTCCAGAGGCACGTTTCTAATCACAGTCTGGGAATTAAAATTGTTGTACCAGAGCCATGTTTCTTATAGTGCATAAATCAAGAACTATTCACACTGAGGCCAAAAACTTTAAGTGAACCTACATTGCCTCAGGACAAGTCCATCTGATCCATTCAGAGGGGTGGTTGGGTTAGTTCATTTTAACCCATTTTTAACCTATGCATGTATCATCAAATGTTAAAAGTAGTTAGATATAGGTTGTTAAAACCTATCTTTACATGTGGCAAGCAGCAGGCTGTTACTATTACAAACGAAAGTCATGATATTTTTCCTGGCTTAAAACATTAGGTGTAGCACAAACAACTCAACTGCACAGTACTCAAAACATGTACATCCATGATGTGCACTGCAGCAAGCTGCCTAACTCTGCAACTCAACATGACACTATTAAAGCAATATTTCTAAAGATTCCAATCGGCACTTGTGATGCAAAACAACTTTTTATCAAATTTGATAATGTGTACAGTACACAGTTAATCCATGAGAGCACTGTCTTTCTTATAACATATGTTAGCCCAGGTGATTCACTTTGAAGAGATGAAACTCAAGCACACTGTGGTCAAAACACTGCTAAACACAGCTTTAGAAACAAAGCTTACTTAATCCCACCCTCACTGCCTCAAAGTCCTTCCTCAATCCTCGAGCAAACATGAAGAAGTGCAACTACATCAGCTTACGGCGTCCCTTCCTCAGATCTCTGACCTTCAGGAGGAAATACAGGTGTTTGCTCTGCTCTTCAGCTGAACGACGGAGTTTGTACAAAGGCCCCCCGGGAATAAATCCTCTCCAAGTTCAGAGAAGACGGAAAAGCGCTTTCGGAAGTTACAGAAGCTTTGATGTGTAATCATAGGATACTGGGGAACACCTGGGGCACCTGTGTGCACTTTGTCTTATGTAAAAATGTAAAACTTAGGATTATAAGCAATGTACGTTATCTTCATTGCTCAGTCTTGCAGTCAGGGCTCCAACAATTTTATTTTGGACAACAATACACATGTTACATGTATTGGAAATTCTGTCTTGGATTGTTCAGGGAATGTGTTTAATTTTAAAAACATCTAACGGTATGACTTTTTTCAATTCAATTCAATTTTCTGTACCACACACACACACACCACACCATCATAATATAATGTATGGAAAAGAAGACAATCGCCCAAAGTGTCTCAATTATTTTGGTCAATGCACAATGGGCACACCTGTTTTCCCATTAAAATGTGTTATAACAATCTGTGTAATCAACAACAATTACACAGATCTATATTAGCCATCAATATACCCAAGAAAGCAGCAAACCTTTTAGATGGAAGGCGATATAGAGCAGAGCTGACTCGGTGGTGCCCATGAAGGGGTACTTGGGTTTGAAGCAGCCCACGGCTGTGAGTGACTTGGTGATCGCCGTGGCGACTGTCTGCTCCATGTAGCCCAGCATGGGGAGGGAGTTGATGGGGATGGGCTCCTTCTTGGGTGGGAGTTTGTGGGGCAGTTTCAGGTCTGAGTACTTCTCTGGTAACCTGGGGGTAACAAACAAAACAACCAATTAAATGCAGGATGTTGATTTAACAATGTCTGGTAACTTGTAATAATTTTTTTGAATGATGCCTGCATACTATTGGGAAATACACCTGAGAGATGTAGAACATGCTTAAAAAGAGACAAAACAGCCTGATCCAACATTTGCTCAAGATTAGAAATCAACATACAATGTAACATGTTTATATCTTGTTTATATTTACATGTTGGTCTGTTTATATCTATGTGTATTTATTGTTGACGTGGTGTACATGTATGTATGTATGTATTTTTAAATGTTTCCACTATGTTGTAATTGCTATAATGTTTGAGCCTTGGAAGATTAGCCCTTTGGGGCTAAAAGGTTTCGAAATAAATGAAATAAATGAAATAAATGAAATGAAACATAGAAACACACATACAGATGCATAGTATTACACTGAGACATGTCCAGGACACGATTCTCTAGTTGTTTGTTCTTAGCACACAAAAACACAAACACAGTCACATACAAAAGATTGCCTAGTTCCCTCTTACCTCATGAACTTCTGGAGCTTCTCCTCTGTCTCAAACACATACAGCTTGTCCTTGTACTCCACCACCAACTCATTGTTCCCAGGAACAATGGCCTCATATCTGTAGAAGATTGGGAGAAACAAACTTTAACGTATTGTTGACTCCAACTTTTTTTTATCATATCAGTTTTATCTGTTGCAACTGTGATAGTATGAGCACCAACCAGTATAATCATTGTCATAGATACAACTTGTAGTTGGCTGTAACCAACAGATAATCATTTGATGCTGATGGGGGTTTTACCAAAAGTTTAAAATTTAAATGGGAGATACAGCTGATAAGGCACAGAAAGTTGTTGTTAGACAGATAAAGAAGACAAAGATGGGAAAAACCCCTGGGGCTGGGAAATACAATAAAGAAATGGTGAGACATTACCTGAGTTTGCCATCCAGGAAGGTAACAGGACAGTATCCCTGCAGTTCGATCTGTTTGGGGAACATGAGTCGGACCTCGTCGGACGTTCTCCTCTGTGGCAGCAGCTCGGGCGGCGGCAGCTTACGCGGCGCCAGGGGAGGGGTGAACTGCTCAGGGTTGGCCAGGAACTTCTCAAGCTCTGTCTTACCAGCCATCTGAGGAAAAAAAATAGCAAATGTTACAGAACCTTACGAAACTCGTTCTAATAATAATGAATCAGGGCTCTGGGCAGCTCAAAATTTTTTTTCCATCGGCCCAGGTTCATGATCATGCCCCCGTGAAATTTCAGATTTTCAAGCCTTCAAAAGAGTGTTGAGAGTGGTTTTCAGTGGTCCTTTACATTTTTTGTATATTTTTACTCAAGATTTTTGTCCATTTTGACTGTCAAGATTGATGTATTGGTTTAATAATTTTTTCATCACAAGCCACAAAGTTTGAGCAATTGACAGAAAAACTGGTGCTGGCTAGAGCCCTGTAATGAATATTTTACATATGTAGATGTGTCATAGAGTACAAGAGATATTTGTGCATCAGTTACATGACATTGTGTATTTGTGTACAGTGTTAGAAATAATGCCTCAGAAGGTGAAGTACATGGCTCTTTTGGAACCAAACCATCTTGCTGAAAAAAGAAAAGATGAATGTAACTGTGGCCTTTACTTCTCATGAAACTCTTTGCTTCAAAGAGAAAGTGATTCTAGCTGATGTTGTAGACAGGGAGACTTTCTTACCTTGTAGTAGTGTCCCCTGAACTCAGCGGTGAACTCCAGTGAAGGGTTGGTGGAACAGTCCACCAGCTCCCCTGTTATTGCCAGGCTGACCGGGCAGTACTCCCCAAAGTCTCCCAGCCGAGCCTTACACTCTGATGGGGTCACACACATGTCTGCAATGGATGCTGCTTTCCCTGTAAAGAATTAAAAGAACTGCCTAAACTTCTGCCCTTCTCTTCATTTCAGAGCAACAACTGATTGTGGGTTTAAGTGTTCACTTTTCATCTGTGATAAGTTTGTGTAACAAAAATTTGGTACAGATGTACAGTTTTAAAAAGTCATCATTTCTTGACATTTTGCACCTCATTGGTAAAGGCCATCATCAAAGACAACTGTCAAAACTGCATCATGCAAGGTCCTTGAAGCAGCAGAGAAGTTATAAAATTTTATAGCCAAAGATTAGTCCCAATAGTTTACAAGAACCTTGTAACTACATACAGAAACATCCAACTCACCTTGTCCAATGCTCTTCAGGTAGGTCTGGATCTGTTGCACGCTCTTGTGAGACTCGTTCTTGGCCTTGTTCCACACCCACCACTTGGAGCGCTCGCCGTCCACGCCGAGCCAGTTGCGGTGCTCGCTCTGGTACCACTTCCTGACTCCGCCCACCTGCTCCTGCCACGCAGCCAGCTTGATGGCCATGATCTGCGGACTGTCGTGCAGGGGAAGGGTTCTGGGGAGAGGAAGAAAGCAAGGGGTTGTCAACTACAGGTAGGATGCTAACATTTGTTAGCAAATGAATAATACCTATTCATCTTATAGCAGAGCCTCCTAGCAGGTGGAGCAAACTGCAGTATTATTTGTAACATATCTATCATATCTGTAGTAATCACAAATAAGAAAGTAGCCAGTAACCAGTGATGCCTGTTCTTGTTCAAAATGATAGCCAATGTGAACTTAATCTTGTAAAAAAGAATTATCGTTTTTTGCAGAACGACATGTTCTTTATTCAAGTCGTAACAGCACAATACATCAGGTACAATGAACATGTAGCTATTGCTGTTGCCATGCACCACTGTAGATAAAATAAACAAGATACAAAATTTCTTATTGTAAAGTGACTTTTCCTTAAAGTTTCTAAAGTTTGATTTGAAAAATTTTAAATGGTCACTTTGATTGACAGATACCTGTTAGGTGATGACCTGTCCTTGCCAGCTCGGACGATGACCTCCTTGCCGGACACTTGCAGCTCCAGAACGACCACCGGGATGATGGCACGCTGGGTCATCAGGTCAACCTGACGCTTGGTCACAGGGAAACCGTCCAGGACATAGCTAATGTAACAAGTTAGGATGACACAAGATTAGACTCTTTTTATAATCTGTTAATAAGTCTCTACCATGAGCAAGAGAAAAGGACACTTCATAATGGCAAAACTTAACAGGATAGAATGGAAAATTGTACTCGTGTGAATTACCTATTGAAATAGTAGGAGAGGACAGATTTAGGATGACAATCATAAGATTAGATTCTTTTTCCAATTTTTCCCAATCTCTGGGAAAAGGGGCATCCTTCACAATGGAAGACATTTGTGTAACTTACTGGATAAATGGAAAAATTAACTTTGTTTCCCAGTATGTAGAAATGTTCTCTAGATCAATGTCAAAATGTGTTTCTTGGCACAACTAAAAAGCATGCAAAACCTCCAAAAATGGTTGACAAAAAGGGAGTTAAGTTCTTAATGTAAACATTTTGATTATCAGTCTATCATGCTACTTCCACAATACAGAATACAGTCCCTACCCTCTAGTTTGTGGCACCATGTCCATGAGTGAGACCTCCAGTGCCTGCACAGCCAGCTCATCAGGCACAGTCAGACCCTTGTACAGCTGGGCGTTGATCAGCTTAGCCAGGTCAGACTTCTTCTGATTGGTCAGGACATTCCTGATGGCCTCTCCAATGGAGATCCTCATGACACCAAACTCTTGGACAAACCGATTGGCCACTGGAATATCAGAAGCAAGAAATCATACCTTATTCAACATTATGTCTTTAAAATCTTAGCTACTTTATTATGTGTTCAGACGTTGCATTACATCCTACTAAAGCTATGTGATACTGCAGGACAGTTTCATTTTTCTATTAAGGAACAGCCAAAGAGTCATTAATAACATTTTGGAATGGCCTGTATAAGTTTTGAAAGTTGGCTTAACATTGATGAATTCTAACTTACCCATTTCAAAAAAGACAAGTTTTACATGGAAGTACAGTAACTGTAAACCTTAACAAACAGGAAGAGCAACTACAATGTTCATTTGTAACCACTTGTTTGTTGTAGGTTTCGTTGCAGAAGAATCTAACAAAAGTTGTGTCAATAAAGATTTCACTGTCAGATTACATACATGCTATTTTTTTATATGACCTACATGCTGTTTTGCCAGACTTGGGCGGGCCGATGATAGCCATCCTGATGGGGACCACCGGCATGGCTGGGGGCTGTCTGATGTACATGAGGGGGTGCCTGATGAACTTCTCCCTGGTGGGGATGGAGCTGAAGAAGTAGATGTGCTGGCGGTACATGACGGGGAACGTGGGGTTGTTGGGGCCCTGCAGAGGCTGGATCACGTCTCCATCCTCAAGCATCTGGGGGGAAAGAACAAACATGTCTTTCAATTTGTGCAGTTTTCAATTCAGTGAATATGTGCTATGAGGTCTACAATGTACTTGTATGTCCATTTCATACCACCAAGTTTTGGAAAAGCAGTTATAGATGAAGTACTGTACTCAGCTAAATTTATGCAAAAAAGATGTTTTGGAACAAAAAGAACAAAATTTTTTAAAGAAAATTCTTTATACGAAAACATTTTCCATAAAGATAACATCATAAAAGAAAGACTTTAAGTAGGAAATTTGTAATCATACACAAACTTATCCTCAAAAACGTTAGAGTGCATTTCTTCACATTCTGCATAGGATAAACAAATGACCTTGAGCATTATCAACTGACCTTGACAGGATCCCACATGCCGAAACAAGATGGCTGCTTGTACCCGACATCCAGCATCTTCCTGGCCAGCTTCTCGCTGAGTGGGTAGACCCGCTCAAACATGCTGTCCCTGAAGTCTATGAGAGGCTTCAGCTTGTTGTACATGGTGTACCTCACAATGTGGGGCTTCTTACTGGCCTGGAGCTCCATACGAGGGATGAAGATCTCCTCCAGAGTTTCCTGTCACAAGTATGATGATGAAAAGTGATGTAATCAGTTCATTAAAGATCTTTGGAATAATATATCTATATACCTTCAAGTTTGTTTTTTGTACAGTGAAAAAGCATCCAAAATTCATATTAAAACTCATATTTAATTTGGTAATACAAATTCAGTTTACGCTTTGTATTTGCACTCATTGCTGCATGTACAGTGTAGAGTTACACTTCATGCTTCAAAGAAATGAACAAGCTTACCTCTACTCAATGCTATCTTTGTTTCATCACAGCATTTAGAGACAATTGCTTTTCAGCCTTACTAAAAGATAATCCAAATTGGTGGTGTATTTCTTAATCTAAAATGACCAGTGTTCTTACCTGTACTGATGCCATCTTGGTGTTGTCATCATCAAACTGTTCACTGAGTTCATTTTTCATCCTGTCGATGGCATCCTGCTCCTCTTCCTCCTCCTCCTCTTCTTCTTCTTCCTCTTCCTGCATCACAGATGGTTTTCACATCATTACATAACCATCATTCCCAAGGGACTGTAAAATGGTTTCTATATTTATCATGCAAATGACAAGTGGTTAAAAAGTAGATAATTACCTCAAACTCCTCTGCCAGTTTCTCATCAATGTTGAAGTCGTCTTCATCTTCCTCCTCTTCTTCTTCCTCCTCCTCCTCCTCTGCTCCAGACTCCTCTGCTCCGCTCTCTCTAGCCGCCTGTCTCTGTGCCTCCCTCTCCAGTCGACGCTCTTCCTTCAGCTTTGCTTTCTCGGCTTCCAGCTCCGCTCTTCTCTTAGCAATCACCTCATCCTGTTCAAACAACAGAGAAAAGCACATGTTGACTGCGGGCAGTTATCTAAAAGGCACTGGTTTAGCATGACATAGGAAATCCTTCAAACTGGGATCCTTATTCTATCTAGTCAAGACTTTTAAATTCTCAAAATCCATTCCCTTCACTGTAGATAATTAAGATGCTTTCTTCTAAACTGAATTATCAAATTAGTATTTGATTAAATAATGTATTGTGCAGACTTCACATGCAAGAAAGGCATTCTATGCAGTGCTAATTTGATAGCTGAGACAAGAGGTAAGAATACAATGGCAGTGAATGCTTTCTCTCATACTACCACACTTTCAGCACCAAGGACAGTACATATGAAAAGTTTTCAGCAGCAATGTACCTGGTTTCCAGGTGTAAAAAATGCCAGGCTCAAAATGCAGATGCTATACAGTCTCAAATATTCCTGTGAACTAAAAAAGCACACTAAACTGTTTGGTAATCGGTAACAAATCAAGATTTTGCATACAGTCTTCTGTAGAAGACCAAGAATACAGCCCTTCCTGAAAGATAGACTAATCTCACACCCACCCTCTCTTTCTTCTTCTTGGCCTTGGCCCTCTCCTTCTTAGCGATCCTCCTGTTCCTGTTGACGCGCCACTTGGCGAGGCGGGGGGGCAGCAGCCTGTCGATGATGTCTGTGTCCTCCACCAGCAGCAGCACGGCCCCGTCCGGGAACAGGCCCTGCTCCGACATGTACCGTGCCTCGTCTGGCGTCCGCGGGAAACCCTCCAGGATAAAACCTGTGGACCTGGACAGGCAGGAAGACATTTTCCATGATGTTACAACATGTCATTACTGCATAAGAATTACCATCATAACAACATGTCATAACTGCATTACCGTCACCCCTTGAGATGAAGAACAATGCCTAGAAGAGAAGCTCTCTAGGAAGATGTCACAATAACTGTACACTTCCAGACGTTCTCTTCTATCACAGCAGGAGCTATTTTCTATGCATCTGTATTTGTTAACGGGTATAACGTGACTACCTTTTGAATGCATGCATAGTCAGCTCATTATATCACACTAAATGACTTGTTGAATCTAGCATCTAATTTTTCTCCAAGCTTTTTTAAATGCTATATAACAGAGAGGCTGCTGCCACTCCACAATAGTTCTATCCACATGGACATAAAGAGTCCCACACATTTGCATGATGGACACTTACTTGAAAGGCTCCTTGTTCCACCATTCAGGCACAATCTTGTCTAAGACATCAGGTGGGAGGGCATCCTCTGACTCCAGGTTGTTCTTGATAGCTTCCTCATCCTCTGTCAGCGGTATCTCTTCTTCTGTCTCGCCCTATCATGGTTCAAGTAAGTAGATTAATGAGTTATTGGATGGGTTGATAGGTTAATGAGATGAGTTAATGATAATCACCTACTCAGTCTTTATCCTTTCAGAGAAACAAATCAAGTTGTTCATATGTCTAGTTTAAAGGAAAGAGCACAATAAATAGAAAAGTTGCAGTGAATACAATTTTAGTACAATTTTCAACAAGCTTTCCAAAGGTAATTCAACACATTCTCAACACAGTAAACGAACCTCTTTTTGCCCTTCCTCTCCTTCTTTTTCGTCTGTAGCTGATTCTGGAAAAAAAATGTCATTGTCAATCATTTCACCATGCATTCAAACATCAACTTAAAATTACAAAAGCAATCTAATCTTACAAAAACTTGATAGATTCCTTTGATAACACTGGACGACATGGTTTCAAAGCATCATCAGGACTAAGAGTGGCCATTTGGAGTAATTTTTACTGTACTACTGACCCTCAGCCTCTGAGGTTTCAGTCGCAGCTGAGTCGGTCAGTCCTGTACTGGTGACCGGCTGACCGTCAGGTCCGGTGATAGCTGTCATGGCAGCAATCTCCTCTGGGCTCTGAGAACAGACATTTTGCATTAGAATAAGGTACATGTATCAGACAACTTCAATATTGAACCAGATCATCAATCTTACAGTGATGAACAACATTGAAAGCTTCAACATTGAAAGCATTTACCATTATGATGATTTAAAAAAGTCATCATGTCCTAAAAAAATGCCAGGTTGCAAAAACTTACCTTTGACTCATCATTTACTGCAAGCTTAGTGGATAGTACAAATGTACAAACAAGAAGAAGTATTAAATAATTAACAATTTTTTGCGCCTTTTTCATCTACACTCACATATTCTGGTTCTTCCTCGTCCTCAGGGTAGGCCGGCCCGATCTTCTTCTTGGTCTTGGCGATGATGAGCTCCTGCAGCCGCTCCTTGAAGGAGATGTGGAAGATGGAGAGGTTCTTGGCCAGCTGGCGGGCGTGGAGGGACTTCCCCGCCCCGCGGGCACCCAGCATCACCAGTCTCAGGGGCGGGGGCTGGGGGGGGTTGATGGGGAAACAAGGTTAAAACTGCAATCCTAAAAATTTCAATATTAATACCATCGTAAAACCTATGAGCAATTGTTGACATCGCATGGACATGTCTTGAGCAATTGATTCAGGAAAATTCAAGAATCCATTTTTTGAGTTGGAGAATTCTTAATTTATTTTTTCAACAATTTCAATTTTTTTATGACAACATACATGCATAACTGTGCAGGTTCAAAGGCAACAGACACAACTGACTGGTGATTTCAGGTCAATTTCATTCAAACACTGAGAAGAACAAACACATCTTAAGCTATGCAAGATTTCTTGACTCCTAAGTCATGTGACTATCCTTCAGAGCTTAAGAAAGATAACAGATGCCATTTGCAAGCTTCTCAAGCTTAACATTTTAGTTTCAGTTTATTTTGCAAGATAAGTTTCAACGTGACATTGTAAGAAAAGAAATGAGTAGTTCCATACCTTGAGTGGTCCGTTCTTGGACAGGAAGTCAGTGGGGCTCTCAAGGAAAGTTTCCCTGTTCTCAGGGTTTGCGAAGTAGTAGGTCCTCTCCCTGTACCTGGCAGCCAGCTCTGCCAGGCCCGGCCACAGGACAAACTTCTGCTTCAGGGACACAGGGTCGTAGTGCTTGGTGTCACCAAACATCTTTCTCTTGCTTTTCCGTATTTCGTCATCCTGTAAATTAGAATGCAAGTTAGTTGTTGCACAACAGGTTGAAATGTTTTCCTTTTATACGGGGGAAAGTGCACAGAAATTTTACAAGCCTATGATGTGTGTGTGTGGGGGGGGGTTGTTGCTGTGTAGATTTGTGAGTGGAAGGTCATGTAGGACTATGTCACTGACAGAATGGAAAAATACAAGACATGTTCTCAAGTCATCACTCCAAGCTCTGTATGGGCAGCTTCAAACAACTGAAAGATGAACAGTCATTATTCATCAAAGAAATAGATGGTGACACTAATATCTGTGTTAAAAAATGAAGAAAACAACAAAATTGTGAGTTATACATATTAACTAAATGTCTGAAGCAGTGTGGTTGTAGATATTTATTTGGTACTGCACAATTTTTGGTACTTTTGAGATCTTACCTCCTCCTCTGACTCATCATCCTGACAGAATGAAATATAGAAGATACAGACAGCTCATTACCGATTTTTTTTCTAGTCATACATGTAACATCAACTGTCATACATGTAACATCAACCATTATCAAATTATCATACGGTCATTGAAATCAAAGAAACTGGTCGAAGAGCAGAAATTTCACTGAGTGCATTGATAAACTATTAATCAGTGTCACAAAGAAACAAGCCACATACATGTAGTTGTTACTACAGTGACTATCGTTATTCTAAACATTCTATGTTAGGATATCTGTTGGCAGGGTTGTGAAGATTGTGACAAATACAAGGTTATAGTGCTGATGATGTGAAATGTTACCTTCTTGGGTTTAGGTTTGCGTTTGGGTTTGTACTTCTCTATTTCTTTCCACTGGTCGCAATGCAATTTGAACAAAAAGACAGCAGGACAGAAGAATGTTAAAAATTAGACCATTAAAGTGTTATCGTTCTCCTTTAGTACTATTCCTTGTGAACTTTTAACAAAAGGGAGTATAGTATTTCTGGTAACAGCATTCTGTTTTCCATGTAAAATGACTTTAACATGATTGTAGGAACTAGACACCATACACCAAACATTGAGGGCTTTCACCGTGATGGGCATTTGTGTGTGGGAAGGACTGAATTGTCTGTCTGTGAACACCG